TGACTCGTGCTCAGGGCTTCCGGACACAGGCCCCCGAGGGAATCCAGGAGAAGCGAGGGGCGTGGGCGCTGATGCCCTCCCAGGAGCCTAATCCCAGAGAGCTGGTCAGGGAGGGGGCCGTGGCACGTGAGTGAGAAGGGAAGGGTGGCAGGAGGGAGGGGGACACAGGTCACCGGGCCCCAGCATGGCTGGGACCGGGCCGAGGACGGATGACTGGCACCCGGCTCACCTCCATGCCCTGGACTTTCAGCTTCATGTGGTCCTCGCGGGTGGTCTTCCCGTCCTTGCGCTTCTTCCAGAGGTAACCATCCTTCCGGTACTTCACCTTCTTGCGGTTGTAGAGGATAATGGAGCCGTTCTGAGGCCTGGGAAGGGAAGGGTTGGCCCTGCGTTCTGGAAACAGGATCTGGGACCCCCTGCCACTCCCCACCTCACGAACCTCACCTTGTCTTTGGGGCACAGGACAGCCACTCGTCATGCTTCTCAAAGGTGATCAAATAGGACGCAATCTCCTGTAGGACAGGGGGCGCTCAGGTGGGTGTCCCCTTCGCAGAGTCTCAGCCTGGCCTCCCACTCTCTCCTGGTTCCGGCGGCCAGGGCGGGCTGGCGCCCACATCTGCTCCCAACCAGGACCACCACCTCCCGAGAACCCCGGGCTTCATCTCAGACGAGAGACTAACCTCTCCTTCCCTCCTCTCGATGCGGGCCTTGACCTTGGGGTCAAGTCTGATCTCTTCATCATCAACTCTTCATGCTGCCCTGTTACTTCGCTCTTTCTAAAACCTATCTTCGTGTCTTCTCCTGACTCAAGAAACCTAAATGGCTCGACACGGCCAGGAATTCTGGATTCCTCAGCCCGGCTCCAAGGTTCTCTCAGACCAGGAATCAAGTCACTGCTCTCCCTGTTTACCTATATTCCATCTACCGCTCCTACCAGGCCGGTCCATCGACTCTCCTCTGAACGTGCCCTGAGCAGTCAGCTCCCGCGTGTCAGTATCCTATATGCCGGATGTTTCTATATCTCCTAGCCACCCCATAGGCCAAATCCCTTCCCACCTCTCCGAAAAGCCCTGCTCGCTGCCCTTAGCTTCCCCACACTTTTAATATCACCACCCACGTACGTTTTAGCCGATGATCCTCGTTTAATGAATTAAGTCAGTGACGATCAAACAGCACAACGTATTGTGTGTGCGGAGTACAGAAGGGGTGTAACACGAGGGCCGTGCCTCCAGAAAGAGCCAACACCGGTGGCGGTTTTATTAACAGCAGAGGCTCTATGGTCAAATAGACCCCACAA